TCTCTACTCATAGAACACTGGTTTGATTATTTAAAATTGCGACATTCTGTATGACATGAAAATATGTATCCATGTAATAGTACATTTATGAATGATACGATATACTCCAGCATACAGTTAACTGATTTGAAACTTATGAACGGTAGTGTACATTGCGAATGTCTCGATTACCCTAAAAGGTGTCGTCAAGGTGCGCCGCTTGGATTTTCCCTTTGGAAAAAAGACGGCTCGTCAGAGGCTGACCGTGGAGGCGAATGCAAACGTACCGGAAAAGCCTGAACTATAAGGTAAGACACCTGTGTAAGTACGTAGTACTAGCCTAGAGAGTATACCGGTCGTGACCAAACACGATCGATCTTTCAAGATCATTGGCGCAAACACAGCTTTATTTAGACCCGGCGAGTCCACTGACACCGACCGTTCGCAATTAACCCTTCCTATCCGTATTTTAATTCTCTTCACAAAATAGTTTCACAGTTCAATTTAGATTATTCCATCAATTTAAAAGGACGGCTATATATACTTCAATTTCCTATCTCTCTGTCTCCAAAAGTCTTGAAATACTGCTGTATACCTAAATCTTATTTAGTATTCTCTTCACTTTTGCCTTAGTTCTCTTAACATCACTGTTAAAATCTCTTTTTCTATTCTTTCAAATATTTTCACAGTACTTATGTTAAAATCCTTACTTAACATCGCTTTAATCCTACTCTCTGGGAGTATCATGTACCCATCTCCCAGCTACTTCACATCCCTTTAACAAGTATTTAAACGTAGTCCATCCTCTTTACATTTCTTCTTCTCTTCCTCTAACTAGTAAAAATTTACGCTTTATACGTTCCCACAATCTCGCTAACTTCCTCATATACCTATCCTTCTTCTCTTTTCAAAGTATCTTGGAGGGCTACTTCTGCAAATATCCTTGTATCAGGGGTTGTAACTCGAATTTTCTATTTTACTTATCGTCTGACGAGCAACTTATACGTAAAAAGTTAAATAATAAAATATTTAAGAACTAATGACTATTTGTGCGAATCGTATATTCGAATGCATCATAACATTCCAGTGTCTAAATCTCGTGCACGGAATATGTAAAATGAATTAGTCAAACGCGAGCGTAAAAAAATATTCGGAAAATAAATGGCGAAGACTATTTATAGAAGACGTAGGATGAATACGTTCGGAGCTCTCAACCAAGTCGTTCGACCGTGCGAAGCGGCGATGATGCTCACTCGAACGATACCTATGTACATACTGGTTTCCTTAAGTTTATTTTCAAAAATCGTGTCAGCTATAGCGAGGGACAAAACTGAATCGATAAAAATTTTATCGAAAATAATCGTCAAAAACATTATAATTTAATGATACATCAAAATAATGTTAATTTTGTTCCATTCAGTTTTTCATTCATAGCTTTTCGTTAATATAAAAATAAAAGAGAAAAGTGATTAAACTGTATCGTAAGAGATCGCACACTTGTGTTCAAATTATTACTTTCCCTTTAAAAGCAGTTTCCGAGACAAAGCACTTTTTAAATGCGACGCAGAATTTAGCGACACGCCTTAAACCAGCTACCTATGCATTATACGTTGTTTCCGCAACATTAATCTGCGGAAACGATTTGAGACATACAAAGATTTCTCAATTATTATTCGATCATAAACACTGATCTTCCATTATATCAACAGCTGTGCATATTAGTATAATTACAGCTGATAATGGGTAATAAAAAATTTTCAACATCTATATTTAATCTGAATTTATATAATATGCACGTATGTGTGACAAATAGTATTAAAAAAGCAATACATATAATATATGTATAAACATGTAACTCAGTGGAGTCTGAATCACAGACACATAGACAACTTGCAGTACGTTTGTGTAAATCCACGTTCCGCCACATATGAAACTAATATTTAATTTTCCTCTTTTTATTAATTTCATTCGTCGTTTCAATTCATCAATTAATTAGAAAATATTTTACGAAAACGAATCTGTAAATTATATTAACTTCCTATTTACACGTACATATCACTATGTTCGAAATAAAAGAGAAAAGAATGATCGCTTGGCAAAGTTTCGTTACCGTCTACTTGCCGCAGCATTTAAATTTCTGACACCTTTTTGCAAAAGAATACAGTTGTTCGCCTGGGCAGAAGCCAAGCTTGACCATCGACAACGAGGTCACTATGATGCCTACATATCGATTGTTTATTGGTAGAGATTTATGCAGACAATCGCTTGCCAAAGCTAACGGTGTAAATGAAACTGTGAATAGTATAAAACAAGAGTTGGAAACAATTATGATATCGGCTGTTGGAAATGGAGAACCGAAAATGTGTCGTACCTGTCGCCAAGTATATCGGTTATAGTTTCAGAACAGTAGAACCGATATTGCTCCTGCAATTCAGTTATACATGGTTGCACTCTACGATTCTGCCGATAGTGAGTACACAAGTAATCTATAAGTGAGGATAACGATAGCTATAAGCCGCTTGTTTATATTACTGATAGATAAAAAGGTTCACTAGCCTGAGTGGCCTTAGCTCATTGTCAGTAATGCAAATCGGTAATCGCGTCGTCGCCTTTCAACTTGAATATAGAATCCATATAATTTCGCTTTCTTAGAACCGAAGTAGAAAGTAATAGGATCCAGAAATTCAATAATTTTAGTAATTTTATACATAACCGTTTCAATCCCCGTAGATAATGCATATTTGTTACATAAACAACAATGATATGAGTAAATATATATCCAGAATGCAATAAGCAACTACAATTTGCTCCAAGGAGATAAAGTCCGATAAAATATAATAAATACTATTACTGTTTCCTGATTTCGTTTCATGAAAAGACTTCTATAAAAGGATCTCTATTCACCCACCCATCACTTATTTTCGTCGCATTGCCTTTCATGTGCGCGCGTACATTGCAATATATTGGGTTACTGGGTTACGCAGGCACGATGAATTGATTAGAATTGCATCTCGCGGTGATGCCATACAATGTATGTGCAAAATAATAAGAGAGAAATTATATTTAAGATTATACATTATTACGATGAAAAATCTAAATAAGTTCTGTAACATGTATTCGTGTCACATAAAAATTAGTGCATGTGGCATGCTTTTATACAAATATCAACTAACGTATTGTATATATAATTCCCGTTTTAATTACGCCAGTCCACATTATTTCATGTGCTTTTACCAAGGACTAATAAATGTGTAATTATGTGTGTTTACGCATTTTAAAATTCACCGTAAGTTTTGCTAATAAAAAATAAAATAGAATATCATATTACTCTGGAAATAAATTATCTTGGCATAGTAAAATCGTACGAGTTTTCCAGGAAGGTAACATTTGTGTACCGCGTTTCCGAGGACCAGTTTCTCGCGGTTCTTCATTCGAATTCAACGAGAGTGGCGTAAGCGTAATTAAACGGATAATTACCAGAGCCCGTCACAATTCCAGGAGATCCAGGTGTACCGTGCCAAAAAAAGTACCCCGTAGAAAGAGACGGTTTTTACGTGTAGGTATACTGCCGACCAAAAGTATTTTTTAACAAACTATTTATCGACTCTCAAACAATTTGAAAAATTATTGCTTGAGCCTAAACTTCAATAATATGTAAATTTTCTTCAAAAGAATTCAGGTCATATTATCGTAGAAGTACAGATAAAACGTGAAGCTTCATGTACTTGTAAGCACAATAATAGAAACATTTAATTTTGAATAATTTATGCAAATGAGCAAATGCTTTATCCACGTATTACTAATAAATTAGATGAACATTTGTGTTGCATGATTGTATAATCAATAGATACACATCAACTTTGAAGATGCGTTCGTTAAATCACACAAATCATTATATCTTTTATTAATTAGTCGTACTAATACTTATAGACGACAGTGTACATGCGGGGAACCTCGTTTTACCGCGCAATAAATAACTTCGTGTACAGGAAACGAAAGCCATATTCGTCATAGCTTCACCGCTCAAGAATAGCGTTGGAAATGTTCTTTAAACAGAACGTATGTTACCAATTTTATATTTACGAATAAGCTAAAATATTTTCTGTCCATGTATCAATCATTTGATTGTCGTTTATTATTATGAAAGAATAAATGGTGGAAAATTAGTCGCATAAGTTAAAGAAAATAAGGCAGAGGTTGATTAAACAAATTGTATAGATTCTAACTGTCAAGAGAGGATGATTTGTTAAAGAGCTCGTTCATCAAACTCTACAGAGTAAATTATAGTTTAATTATTAAATTGAAGTGTGATACACGATTATGTGCTTGAAGATACGAGACGTTTTATGGAGATATCTTTTGATATATTTTTGGTCACACACGATATTCTCTTATCAAGTTTAATCATTCGATTCATAACGATTAAATCAATAGCAACTTGAAGGAAATCGTGTTCGCACTTAGTACCGTTACAAAAAATTTGGCTAATTAACGATACTAATTGCACAGTAGATCGCGAACAATCATCTTGAATTTAAATAACGATTTGCACGTAAATATTCGTGTAATAATATCAGTTAGCTTTCCTCATAAATACTAGAAATAGAGAAATCTATTGCGTATACGAATGATTCATAACACAGAGGTCAGACATACATTCTTCTTCTTGACACAATTGATGAACTGATCTATCGTCATTAAGAGAAGACTTTTATAATAGTAAAATGCTCATGCGAAAATATCATCCTTATAGAGTTATTGTAACTCTAATAGTATATGTATAATATTTAAATAATTTGTTTCATTGTATCAGTGTTGTAAAATACTGAATCAATATTGGAAACAATGCTCAAATCTTACAGGGCACTATGTATATGTATAACGAAACTGTCAGTATGTGAATTACTCGATAAGAACGCATTGCAACGGTTGGATTAGATGTATGATTTGTATTTAAATGCATCCACATATTTTAATTGATGCCTGTTCGTAAAATGTAGAAAGAGTATTTGTAGACTAACCTGACGGGAATCGTAGGTGTCAGCGATGTGTTCGGCTTCAGCTCCGCCGTGATGCTGCTCACCGGCAGGTCCTTTACGTCGATCGTCACTCGCGTTACGATCCATCTCGTCGAAACCATGGACGACCGTATCGGATATGTCGTCGCACGTCCGATCCTTAGCCGTCAGGGCAGATTCCTCGGTTTTGCCCTTGCCGAAAAGGCGCGAGATCGTATTCCACATTCAACGAAAACACATCAGCGACAAATGCAACGACGATCCGTCTTTTGAACGAGTCCTTGTTCTTGTCATAGCCGGCGAGACGATACGTTCGAAACGAAAATCTCTCGCGTCGCTCTACACGTGCGTGCGTACGTAAGTATGCAGGGACACCTTCGTCACAGGATCATCGAATGCACTGGCGAACAGTTGAACAGTTCGAACGCTCCATACGAGGAACGCGAAGGTTAGGTGGCCAAGTCGAGACCACCGAGTTTTATCCGGGAGATCAGATCAGAGTCAGAGGATCGGTGTACCCGTTTATATACAATCGACCATTGGGCCTGTTTCGTAGAATCCGATTGCTGTGTTTAGACAACGTGAAGGTTAGGTGACACGAACACCTTTGAATTTCCGTTCCAGAGTAAGGTTAGAGTGTACGTGTTGAGAGAAGTACCGCGTATCGGCCGCGAGCGAATTACTCACGTCTCGTCTTCAATTTTCACTTCATTCAATCACGATATCACTCGCGTGCGCTGGTTAAAAAAATTCGGGATGAGTAAATTTAAATGATCACAGGCTACTTTATGGCTCGTGCCGGAGTGCACGCTATGTTGTGAAGCGGTCAGCAGCGCAGTTAAGCAAGTCGCGGTCGGAATGATTGCCGGCCCACGATAAGGTGTTGCAAAGGACGAAAAACAGATGTTATAACAACTCGAGTAATGATATTCCGCGACGTTGCGTTCATCGAGGACTCCGCTATTTTTGTCGGCGATTCTTCTCGCGCGTTCCACGCTCGTCGAGCAATGTGCGAGCTTCTCTTATCGATTTTGCACGAAACAGTCGAAAAACCGGATAACCGGCGTTGAATTCAACTTTAGAAAATCGGTATATATTCAGCGAGGCTCGGGATATGGTCTCAGCTTATTCGAGAGGTGTCTCCGATGAACGATTCTCTCGATGGGTGTTGCAAAAATGTTATTGGCACCTGTAAAAGGGGCGTACCACGGCACAAGTATTTCGTTGAAGCGAATACGCCAATACACATATTCTTCCTCCAGCGTCCGAATTGATTCTCAGCTGGCGTCTCCTTTTCCTGACATTCCTACGTCTGATTTAACCTGTGGTCCAGATATCCAGGCACTCTCGTTGACAGCGGCAAACGAAAGTACACACGAGAAGAGTAGGTCGTACACAGCACAGCACACAGCCCTCGCAGTAGCACCACCGAAAACGTTGCTCTTACAGGGTCGTGACTATCCGTGTACACCGCGTAACGCACGATAATCACAATCCTGCGTTTCGATGCACGCAAATACTCGAATAGGAAACACTGTCAGCACGAAAAATCATCATCTCGCACGAACATCAAGTCCACGGCACGTTCGCCGTCCATCGTGAAAAACGATCATCGATTCGATGCGAGATTTTATCGTTCGGTTCAGCAATGTATCGAAACGCGTTCGAGATAAGACCGCCATGTTGTTTTTGATCGATTCGAATATGACTCGAATTCGCGAGAAACGATACGCGGTTTTTTAAAAACGGCAGCAAGAACGAGATTAATTACATATTTATAGTTGTTATATCATTGCTCTCGTTGCCATCCTTTTTGCGGACCATCAATGCTTTTTATTATTCTTGACTTAAAATTAAGATGAACACAGGCTGTGCATGTAATGAGATTTTTGTATGCAATCTTGAAATCCTAACGTTATGAGCGCGTCATTACATGTTCATTACCATTAGTTTTATGTAATTCGTAATTTCTGAAATACTCGTCAGAAGATGAAAAAAAGACAATTGATGAAAACTGAATATTCTCAATAGAAATATATATACATGTATATGTATATGCTTCATATGATTCCCTGCAGTTCACAGTTTCTGTCTCATTATCGGGGTCGAAGAGTCTCGATGTTTTCGTAGATCCATTTATAATATATTAATTGATGATACAGTCTCTTGGGCAGGAGAAGCGTGCAATATGTTAATGTAATCAAGGGTAAGACAGTGACCCGAATCCCTTTTTCTTAATTCCGTGTGTATCAGAATTTTTTCATAACACGCTCCTGTATGCACCGAGATCTCGATACGGTCGGTTCAGGTCGGTTCAGCATCGACGAGTGTTTTGCTTTCTGGTTCTTACTTCGGTGCCAATATATTCTAGAGGGCGTCAAAAGTTGCCGACTTTGTCGTGCAAGTATTGTAGACGAGCATTATGTATAATCGGATGAAATTCGAATAATATGAAAAGCCTCTAAGAGTAAACGCGAGCAAAATTGATTGTCTAAAACTTGCCTAAATGAACATCTATTGAAATTAATTTCCTCTGTTTCTTATTTATTTATCTCTAATTTA